ATCAGCCAAATTGGAGGTGACCCAATGAATAGTGTTATTGGTAAGTAACAATAATCTTAACAATAAATTGTTAATTTTCCATTTGTCAAATTAAATGACATATAAATTTTAAACCTCTTCTTTTATCATGTATGAAAAGTAAAGATAGAATTATTTATTGTTCAAAAATACTTCATACAACAAAATTATTGGGTAATATTTATATCGATATAAAATTATCTATACAAATGTTGACTTGCTACATTATGTAACATAAATTGTAAGAACATTTATAGTTGCGTAAAATAAGTAGGCAATATAACTACAACAATCTATAATGCATTTTATTTGTCTTACTATTACTAGTTGTACAATGTCAAGTGTAGAATAGACATTACATTGATATAGAATAGAAGAGACTTAGGACACCCCATGCTCATATTTATAAAGATCCTAAGAAAAAGTTCATACTGTATTATAAAGTTACAGTTTCGAGACTCAGGAAAGCGTAATTAGACTATCCTTGAATTCGCCAAACTCTCTAGCCAGATATTATATGTTTCTCAAAACAATATAATTTAATAAAGCTCTTTTATATGAAAATATTGATATATTTTCATACATATATTTTATTTACACATAGAGACAATTAACAAGAATAATAAAGTTTTTAATTCCTTAAGAAATTTAATACAGATTATTTATCTATGAAATGTAATAACTTAAATGTTTTGAAAATAAAACTATTACTAACACTATTATTAATGATAGCTACAATGGAAACAGTGAATTTTGTATATGCCATATACAGAAAGTTGACTTAAATATAAATTGTCTTATGTTTCATTACTTATTATCTATTTATATGTAATTTAGAGATCCATAAAATATATATAAATGGTTCGATGTAAATAAAGCTACTTACAAAGTTTTTTTAATACAACGATGTATGCATCATTCATAAAATAAGTTTTTTCTTCTCTTGGATGCAGACACTTTCCACAAATCTATCTTTTAATAAATAATTATCATAATAAAGGCTCTCATGATTAATATAATTCTAATAACAGATATATATTTATATCTTGTATATATTTGTCAGTATTTCCTGATAAATTTGAAATAAATTTTTTCTTCAGTGATAATATCGAGGTGTATCTCTCTAAATATCCGAATTACGAATCATACAATGAAGAAATGTTTTATAAATTACAATTTACTGCAGGATAAATAAATACACAATTATGTTCTCCAATTAATTTCCGAATAGATTCTGATAGAATTTCGATTTAAAATTTTGTTTATATTACAAAGATATACAAATTAAAAAATTAAAGGAAAAAAAATTCAATCAAAGAATCTGTTATTATATTTACAGTTACGAGTTGTGGCACATCCTGGGTATATTTTATAGCTTACTAATATACATGATGGAAGTATAAAAGATGTGTTCTTGCGCATTTTGAACAGAAGAGCGATATTCAGAAGTCGCCATGTTGCCGCGATTATTTGAAGTCATTATGACATTATGTTGAGTTCTTTCCTTTGGAAATCGAAAAAAATATAAATTTCTGCATCCTTTTTTTTTTAGGAAATTATTTGTACACGTTTTAACTTACTCATATCTGCAATATGTCACTTCAAAGTTACTGCGATGTAAATGTTTAAAATGGCCGCATCTGGTTATGCGCAGAACAATATGAAATTCGTCTCGAAAACGAGCACATTCTTTATATTTCCATCATGCTAATATATGTAAACGGATACATACATTTTTTTCTAATCTATGTTATTTATGTGTGAATATAGATGAATATATTTGTCAAATTTCATCACACAATCATCTAACCAGGAAAAAAACTGCGAATCTTATTATTAAATTTATACAAGTTAAATATGCAGATTGAATTGTTATGAAAATAAATAGTGAATCATAAAATATAAAAATCTTTCATTAAACTAGAAGAAATATCTACTATTATTAGGAATATATATA